GTGTGCAAGGGAGGAGGTATGTTAGGGTTGCCCTACTCTTCTGCCATCTTAACCCTCCCCCTAGTCTCTCCTTTCCACTCAAAGAGTCCCTTTTAATAATTCTTGCAGAGGTGGTTTAGTAGTCACGAACACCTTTAGTTTTTGTTTGTCTGGGAAACTCTTTATCTTTCCTTCTATTCTGAATGATAACCTTGCTGGATAGAGTATCTTGGCTGCAGATTTTTCTCATTCGGCACTTTGAATATATCATGCCATTCTCTTCTGGCTTGCAGAGTTTCTGTTGAAAAATCTGCTAGCCTTATGGGTTTTCCCTTGTCAGTTATGACTTCTTTCATCTTGCTGCTTTTAACATTTTTTATCACTATAATTTGCAAGGCTAATTATAATGTTTTGGTATTGGTCTGCTTTTGTTGATTCTGTTGGGGGTTCTCTGCCTCCTTCCCCAGATTAGGGAATTTTTCAGCTATTATTTTTTCAAGTCAATTTTCTGCCCCCTTTCTCCTCTTTTGGAACTCCTATAGTACAAATGTTACTACGTTTGATGGAATCACTGAGTTCCCTAAGTCTATTCTTGTTTTGCATAATTCTTTCTTTTGTTCAGCTTATTTTCCATTACTCTGTCTTCCAGGTCACTAATTTGTTCTTCTGCTTCTTCTATCCTGCTGTTCATTCCATCAAGTGTGTTTCTCATTTCATTTACTGTGCTCTTCATCTCGACTATGTTGTTATTCCTGTCTTAACGGCCTCACTCACGTCTTCCACTATTTTCTCAAGTCTAGTGAGTATCCTTATGATCATGGCTTTAAATTCTCTATTAGGCATGTTACTTATAACTGTTTTGCCTAGATCTCTGGTTGTGACCTTGTTCTGTTCATTTGGGATAAATTTCTGTCTCCTCATTTTGTCTATTTTTCTGTGTTAAGAAAGCCAACTGTGTCTTCTGCTCTTCAAAGTAGTGACTTTATGAAGAGTTCCTGGAGTGTCCTGCAGTGCAGTGTCCCCTGTTCATCAGAACCTGGCACTTCAGGAGAGTATCCTATATGTATTGCTTACACCCTGCTGTTGTGTCTGCCACTTTTCCTTTCAATGCATTCATCTTTACTGGCTCTCTGCCTGTTGTGGGCTGTGCTTGCTCTCTATGGTGTTAGTGGAACCCAGGCAGGCCACCTCTGGTTGGGGGTGGGGTGTGTGCCCACGGGGGAACTTGGGGGGGCGGTGATGGTGTTAGCAATATACAGCTGGGTGTGCTGTGGTGTTTGGCCCTGGTGCAGTCGTTGGGCTAGGCAGAAGCTCTGTACCTTGCGGCTGTGCAAGGTGTGCAACTGCAACTAGGGACACACAACTGCAGCGGGGGCATGCAACTGGGTGTGGTGTGGAATGGTGCCTGGTGGGCCTGGGGGCACACAGCCAGTCATGCAGGCACAGCATGTGACTGTAGCTGGAGGCATGCAGCTGGGTGAAACACAAGGGTGGTTGGAGGCACACAGCTGGGCGTGGCATGGCAGATATGCATGGCACAAGGTGGCACCTGTGTAGCTGTTGGCTGGGTGCCCACACAGCTTTAACAGAATTTGCCGAGTCCATGACCAAGGCTAGCTGGTTTGGAGTGGGTGAGTCCTCAGGAGAACTTGGGCATAGCCCACTGCTAGCAGGTTAGGTAGCAAGTGTCTCTGTGCTTATACTGGGGCTAGTGGAGGAAAATGACACCTGCCATGTCCTGTTTTCATGGTCCCCCAAACACTCCGAAGTCAGTATGAACAGATCTGTCTCCTGTTTGCCACTGGTCCTGTGTAAACTGCTTTTAAGTTCCTCTCTGCACAGGCTGCTGTCTCTTTAAGGGCAGCAACCCAGCTAGCACAGCCTCCCAGCTTGCCCAGTGTTTAATCAGCTTACCTCCAAAGCTCCTCATTCCAAAATTCAGCCCGTCTGGTTTCTAAAGCCAAATGCTATGGGGATTAGTCTTTCCCATGTGAGCCTCCTGGTGCAAGGGCCCATTTCTCTGCCCTCTTTGCGTGTGCAGTTCCCTCCCTCTTGCAGGTAGTCTCCCTCTACCTTTCTGACCATCCCAAACTTTCAGATGCAGCTTCTTCCCTATATTTAGTTGTGGAGTTTGTTTCACTAGCCTTCAGATCACGGTCTAGTTTATTGACTTGGATATGGATATCATCTAGTTGAAAATGTGGTGAGTTTAGGGTCCTCCTACTCCATCCGCCACCTTCCCAAGCTCCCTGGTTACTATATCAACATCATATGATTGATTGCCTAGTTACATCTTTGCTTCTTTATGTTTCAGAAATTATGTAGACAGATAGATATGACTTAGTTATCATTACTTGATATCCTGTCTTCCCAGATTTACTACAATTTCCTAATTCTTTCTACCTTAAAGTGCCATTACCATCCAGACCCTTCTTAACAAGGTCCTCTCAAGAATTCCAACAGCCTACAATGTCCTTGTGGCCCCAGTCATACCCGCTCCCTCAGGCCTTCACAAAGGAGCCCAGGTGGGGAACCCTAGCACATGCCAGAGCACCTTCCCTGGCTTTCATTAACAAGAGAGATGGTAACCCATTTTTATAAAATTCTAGAAAATGCAAACAAATCTACAGTGACAAAAAGCAGATCAGTAGTTGCCTGGGACTGGGGCCAGAGCAGGAATGTGCTACTCTTTTGGGGATGATGAAATGTTCTGTATTTTGATTGTGGAGATGGTTTCCTGCATGGAGTTATCTATCAAAACTCATTCAATCGTATACTTTAAAGAGATGCAGTTGTTACACATATTTCATGACTCAATAAACTTGATTTTTAGAATGCAAAAAAATTTGTTGTCCACTATTCAAAAGATTTTTTTAAATAGTTTTTTTTAAATAGTATGTCACAACTTAAGTGACATACAGATTGAAAATGAAGAGAATATTAACCATTATTTATTGTATACTTAGAAAAGCTAGAAAATGATACTAAAAAACTATTAAAACTAAAAATAACTTAGCAAGGCAATTGGATCCAGGTAAAATTTTTAAAACTCAATACTTTTTTTAAATACTAGCAATAACCAATAGAAATTGAGGTGTGGCTTTCACATATAGCCCATTTTCCTCCATGCAAGAGCCTGAGTACTTTTCAAGGAAGTAATGACATTCATTCCTACTGAACATAGACGCCTGACTGGTGGTAGGGGGTATATACTTATGAATAGTGCTGGCTCTCACCCTCCAGACTCAGAGTGGTAAGAGGATGAGCAAACAACAAATAGAAGGTAAAATTATAGCATACAATAGGCAGGGGGTTCTACTGAAGACATGGCTAGTAATTTGCAAATCACAGTGGAGGGATGGGCCCTTGTGCTAATATGGGGTTGGGCTCCTTCTCAGGATCTGGGTGCTCCCAAGATAAAACACTTTTAAGAAAGTCCTATCTGCAGATCTTGTAAAGGAAAATGGAAACAAACAGCAAAAATATATCTGAAAACAGAAATTTAACTTAAAACACTTACAAATGGCAAATTTCTAGCTGTACCCTTGGTTCAGTAGTTTTACAGATCTCCCCAATAACATTCTTTCTAATCTTTTCTGAGATGCCTCCCCACAAATCACATCTAATTCTTATTTTCTTGAGCCTCAATTCTCTTCCCTTTCTTCTCCACTGTCTCAGATATAAATTACAGCTCACAGTAATCTCTCCCCTCCAGGTTACATAATCTGACATTGCCCCTCTAACCTCCACCTCTGCCACACTGTCAATCCTACTGTCCTGCTAAGAGAAAAGGGGCAGGCACCAGAGGCAAAGGCTCCCCCGCACTGGGGCACTCCTGCAATGGTGGAAGGGATAAGGTGTTCAAAACTAATGTCTCCTATACAACTATTGGACTCTGAAAAGACCTCCTGATGGCACAGATTATTACAATAATTAAGTGTACTCCTCTCACCTTGGTATTAGATGGCAGTTACAGGTAGATTGAACTACATGGTAAGGCAATCAGTCACTGTGAGCTCCAATCACAGAAAGCAGGAAAAAGTACATATCACTGGAATAATTGCTGACTCTAAAACCTAGACACACACACAGACATGCATGAATAGAGGCATGCTCAAGCACAAATCATTAGTTCTTTGAGGCTGAGGTAAACAGCACTAAAACTCCCAGAGGTATATGTAGAAGATATGAATGAGGCCTTTGTCTGTGGTATCCTACGATATCCATCTTTAAAACACTTAGGTCCAGTGGTACAAGGGGAATTCCTGCCCAGTTTAAGAATGGATGAATTGGAAAGGTGAGTTTAAAAAAATTATTAAACAACTAGCGTATGAAAATTATCTATATGCTAAAAGAAATACATACTCAACCTCAAAGAACCTACATTAATTTGTTATGAAAGTGTACACCTATGCCTTGACAATTGTTCTGAATGCAATTTAATGCAAATTGTAGCACAGGCTAATTTGAAGCATTGAAGTCAAATCAAGAGAAGTTTAGGAGGAAGGAAAAAGCATTTCAAGAAGAAAGTCTTTCTGAGATGAGCTGGATCTTACAGGGTCTGAGGGATAAAGATTAGCAAACAGAAAGAAGAAAAGGTTTTCTAGATAGGAAATACAAGTGATGAGGATCTAGATTATAACAGAACTTTTTAAAAGGCCATATCCAAGATAGGAAAAAACCAGAGCATTGGAGAATGACTTTATGCAAATGTGAAATGAATTAGCTGGAAAGAAAGGAAGCATATAATTACTGTCCTTGAGAAGCACACAATTTGGTTATAGGATTCATTCCTAAAACCAGAGATACATTTTTAAAACAAAAAAGGGAGGAGAGAAAAAGACAAGGAAGGAAGGGAGGGAGGGAAAAAGGTAGGGAGGGAATTTACAAGTCCAAGAAATGTGTAGTCCTTACTTCCCTCATAGCTGGGAAGGATGGCCCTGTGACTCTCCCACCTTCGTTTTCAAAGCAGAAAGAATGGAGGGAATGGCCCTCATTGATTAGTGATTCCAAGAGGAGATGAGGGTGAGTATCTTTGTTACAAAAAAAGATTAACTCAAAATATCTTGCTATCTTGGAGAATCATGTCTCAATAAACTGTGCGAGCCAGAGCTGAATGCTTCTCTCCAGTGTGAGTTCGCTGGTGGTGATTAAAAGTGGAACGCTGACTGAAGGCTTTCCCGCACTCAATACATTCATAGGGCTTCTCTCCTGTGTGAACTCTCTGGTGCACAGTAAGCTGTGAGCTGTCACTAAAGGCTTTCCCACAGTCACTACATTTATACGGTTTCTCCCCAGTATGGGTTCTCTGATGAACCATAAGGCTAGAATTATGACTGAAGACCTTCCCACACTCATTACATTCATAAGGCTTCTCACCAGTGTGAATTCTCTGGTGTATAATGAGGTATGAGTTCTGATTGAAGGATTTTCCACACTCATTACATTTATAGGGTTTTTCACCGGTGTGAAGTCTCTGATGTCGAATAAGGCATTTACTCAGACTGAATGCCTTACCACACTCATTACATTCAAAAGGTTTTTCTCCAGTATGAATTCGCTCGTGGTCAACAAGTTGAGAGATCTGACTGAAGGCTTTCCCACATTCACTACATTTGTATGGTTTTTGCCCAGTGTGGAGGCTCTGATGTCGAACAAGACATTTACTCCGACTAAAGGCCTTGCCACATAAATTACACTCATAAGGCTTCTCCCCAGTATGGATCCTCTGATGGTCAGTAAGATTTCTGTTAGAACAGAAAGCTTTCCCACACTCACTACACTTGTAAGGTTTTTTTCCAGTGTGAAGTACCTGATGCCGGACAAGATTTTTACTTCGACTAAAGGCAGCCCCACACTCATTGCATTCATAAGGTTTCTCCCCAGTATGGGTTCTTTGGTGGTCAAAAAGTTTGGAACTCTCATTGAAAGCTTTTCCACATTCATTACATTTATAGGGTTTCTCACCATTATGGAGTCTCTGGTGTTGAATAAGATGGGAGCTGTGTCGGTAAGTCTTTCCACACTCACTGCACTCATAGGGCTTTTCCCCTGTGTGGGTTCTCAGATGAACTATGAGCTGAGAGGTCTGCCTGAAGGTCTTACCACATTCATTACATTCATAGGGTTTCTCTCCAGTGTGGATTCTCTGATGCCCAATGAGGTGTGAACTCCAATTGAAAGCTTTACCACATTCATCACATTGATAAAATTTCTGTCCCTTCAGAACTCCTCGATGTTCTGCAGCACTAGAGGACAGACCTGGATGTCTCCCAAGTTCATTATATTCATCACATCCATCTTTTGTGGATTTATCTTTATCCTCGTGTGTTATTTTGAAGAAATCACTTTCCAGTCTGCTCCCTTCTTCATCTGAGGATTGCCCTTCCAGCTTCTCTAAAGTACCTTCACAGGCAGCTCCTGTCTCTGGTTCCCCAGAAACTACTCCACAGAGGCCTCCTGATATCCCATCAGATGACGCCGGTCCTTTAGAAACTTCCTGCCTTGCAGGCAACTCTGAACGCCGCATCCTAGTCTCACCTGCTGCCAAAAGAAAGAAGAAAACAACTCTTATTTGTTTCTTGTTCTATTGATGAAACAGTACCATCAGGAGTCTATGGACCTGAAAAAACCTTCACATTAAGGGACACATTAAGAGAGGACACCTTAAGAACAAGAGAAAGATGGGAAATAGCTCAAGCTTTTCTTCATGGACAGAAAGACAAAGAGGACAAAGGCAGTCAGTGGGGGAGGATGGAAAAAGAACTATCAGGACAGAGCTCTCTGTCCTGAAGCTCTTAATTTCTCCACTTAATTGTCCAACTAAAAAGAGCAACCGGAAGGCAAGAGCGCAGACTGTAAAGGTGGTGTGATCTTACAGAAGTCACTTAGTAAAATGATGAACTCTAACGTCCTTTCCAACCATGACACTGGATGGTTCCATGGTTCCCAGTAAAGATACTGGGGAGAGAAAGGAGAGGCAAATACCTCAAATCAAATATGAGAAACAGTATGGGCAAACACAGTAGGAAAAAACGTACCAAAAAAGTGATTCTCATATGTGAGGACAGTGACAAGATTCAGAGAAATCACAGGTTCAGAAATGCTGGGGAAAAGTACTGGAAGGGACAGCAGAGCTGTAAAAGTGAGGATTCCCCTAGTCTCTGGTGCACTAGACTGCTACAAGTCAGTACTGCAAGTACTACATTCCTATAAAAATTAAGAAAGGGATCGATAATTTGAAATAGGAATCAAAATATGTCTTTGGTATCTTGATAATCTGGAATCCTAGGAAACTGAACAGTTGAGTATTTCCTTTTGAATTTGGAATAGGTGGAAGTAGCAAGCAATCAGTCATGTTTAAACACAAAACTGTTGGTTCCTCTTAATCATATCTTAACCAGGGCCACAGGCCATCATATGGCATTTCAGTGTATAGGGAAGATATAGATATCTGGCTCCTGGACTCCTACGCCCACCCACCCTCTCTAGAGTTGGCTACTGTGCTACACTTGCCAACCAGAGAACCTGCCCTGAAAACCCCTTTCCAGGAAGCTGTCCTGCCTCAGTCCCTCCCGAAGGGGAAGCTGAGGCAGCCATGCTTTGTGCCAAGTAACTGGTCTCAATACATCTCAGACCATGACTGACTAGACCAGGGCACCAGGCCCAAGTGTAGCGTCTCTGTATGCTACGCCTCTGCTGTGGCCAGGGGCAAAGTTCTGCCCAAACAGAGATGATACTTAAAGGCTGAACCACCCTTGGAGTCCCTCTCTAAGTAAAATGTGAGCTGGAAATAGGGCAAAATAAAGAAAACTAAAACAAGAAGGAGCTCTAAACTGAAATGAGGCACAGAGAGAAGCCAAGCCATTAGGAGCCATAGCATGCAGAAAGTACGTGGGAACAGAAAGTCTAATAAAGCAGCAGCTATGAGGGGACAAAAGATACAGAATGAAGAAAATGGGTAGCAGTGGGAGGACAAAACAGATATGCGGGGAGCAAGGGCATTACATTCCCTGGCATAAAAATTATTTGCTGTTGTTGCTGAGGGCCCTGTTTCCCAAAGGATGGTCTAGCTGGTGGGTTTGATCAGGGTTTCCATTCCTTCAGCCTTATTGTAAGTAACACAGCTCAGTACTTACAATAATGTGAGTGGCTCCCTATTCCTTACAACTACCAACTCTAACCAAACCACCCTAGGTCAGTTAATAATGAAGTAAAGACAATGTTGATAACTTAAGGCTGAGTGATGGGCGCAGAGAGGTTCATTAGAGTATTCTCCCTACTTTACCTCATGTTTGCAACTTTTCATAATAAAAAAGTTGACAAAAAAAAGAAGATAGCAAAGAAAATGTAAAGAAAAGAATGCACACTGTATTACTGGGGAACAGAATCATTACCCAATGAGGCCATGCTGCAGTAATTTTCTGGCACGATGCTCCGGTACACGGCTCTCTGACTGAGGGCCGGACCTTTCCACTTCCTCTCAGTATAGTCCACAGACAGGAACTGGTACGCTGCAGATCCCTGGAATGACAAGCTTCTATTGCTCAGGGATATTCCCGACCTGAAGGGCAGACACATCAGGGTACCAAGAGCCCAGGTCGGGGCCTGGTGGGTAAAGGGGTGAGGGAGGGAGAGAAGCTGGGATGACACATTTAAAGGACAAGTCCAGGGCCAGACAGAATCCATGAACTCAGCAGGCGGGGCCCAATTCCAGAGGAGGCAATTAAGCAGGGAAACCGCAGGATTAATCTCAGAATTGGCCAGAGCCCTGGAGGTGAGCGCTAGCTATTTCCCAGGCCACAGACTTGGGAACTCAGGGAAGACAGAGTCCAGCTCACCTGGGGCCTGACCATCCGAAGCACAGTTGCCACTGCCTGGTCTCCTGACTTCCCAGCTTGGGAAAGGGCAGGCACCTGAGAAGCACACTGACCTGAGGGAGGAAAGAGAGCTATGAGAAGAAACCCTGCCTCGGCCCCAGTAAGATCTGTATCCCAGTGAGTGGGTTCAACAGAACCCAGGCAGCTCCACACACTGCCTCTCATCCCCCTTCCATACAGGCATTATTCTGACTGTGCTGTGACTTTTCCATGCAGGTGTAATTCTGAGGGTGCAGAGGGTTCCCTGGTCCAACTGAGAACTGGCCATTCCTCCCAACGCTCACTCGCTTCAAACTCTCTGAAGGAAGCTATACTTCTGCCCACTTTCTTTCTCTGTGGGTTCCCTAGCATCAGCCCAGCCTGATTTGCATTTCTGGCCCCTCATTCCTGATTTCCCTTCCTTCTCTTGGCTTCTCATTATGGACACTGCAGGCGCTCCGGCCTCACAGCGTCCCTTTTTCTCTGTCAGAGATCTCACGGACTCTCAATGCTCTAATGCTGCTTTCCCAGTTCCAGCTCTCTTCTAGACCCCTAGTACAGACTTCTAGTGGCCTACTGGACATTTCATTTGCGTGTCCCTCATCACTTTAAATTCAGTCAAAAATGGACGTTCTTACCAACCTGCTTTCCTGACTACCCAAGTTCTGTCAATCATTCTAGACATCTCTCATTCCCTCTCTGTCCTGAAACTCACATTCATAAATAGTCCCCTACTTAAGCTTTAGTTTCACCATGATCTCTGTCAAATTTCCAACTGGCTCCTTTTGGAAAGTGACAATCTCATAATAAAATTCATAGGGAAAATCAAGGAGTTCTAGCTACGAGAATACTGCGAAAAAATAAGCAGAAGGATTCATAATTCCAATGTCAAGATTTACTTTACTAAGTAGCAGTCATCAAAGTAATGTAGTGCTGACATAAGGACAGACACACAGATCGTTAACAGAATAAGCATCAAGTGATAAACCCATATATCCATAGTTACGTATTTTTTACAAAAGTTCCAAGAACACTGAAAGAAGAAGAACAGACTTTTCAACAAGTGGTGCTCAAACAACTAGATGTGCATACAAAAAGAATAAAGTTGGACCCCTAAGGTAGACCATATATGAAAATTACATAGATAGCACAACTTGGCACCTGTTGAATCATGGCCTCATAACTCAGTGCACCATGTCAGAAATGATACTCACCTCCCCCTGAAACTACCCTCCATCTGCCACCATCACTAAGTACATTTAAAGAAATCACTACCTTCACCCAGAAGCCTTCCCCGCTTCGTTATAAACCAGTACCTATTCAACATCTTCCAGACTCAGCCAAAGCTAATCAGGACAGACAAAAAATAATGACTAAACACAGACGGAAAGAGGCTCACACCAGAAAGCACACCGCCATACCACTAACAGAAAGAAACTACACTCTTGCTCTCAGGGCATGAAAAGTCTGATAAAGGACTACATTAAGGATCATGC